TAAAATCTTGAACTTGAAGTTTTAACTTTTTTATGGGTTTTTTGACCTATGCCTGTCAAAGTTAAAAAAAAAAAATTATTTATTAATTATTTAATTAAATTTATTTACATGATATTGATTTTAAAATTAAGATTTATTTTTACATTTTTTATATAAATTTATTGTAAAAAAGTTTCTTAACCTATCTCATAAAAACACAAAATAAAAAATTCCTTTTTTCAATTGTTTTACCCTCCTTAATTTAGGGGCAAATACCTATAATTTTGACATCAACACCTAAGATTTTTTCAAATAAGTTTTCTCACTTTTTAAAACTAATATTTTTTTGAATGATATTAAAAGTAAGTATCAGTTTGATGTATTTTAAAAAATTAATATTTTTAAATATTTATTCAAATTTTTTATTTTAAATTTAATCTACAAAATGATATTTATTCATATCCAACCCTTAAGTAGACAGACACCGGGAATGAATTTAATATATTGTTTAATTTGTTTGCACTTTCATCTCTCAATTCACAAAAAAATGTGTATTTTATTTAATTTACTTGGACATGTGTATTATGCCTCTTGGCGTGCCGAAGCCATTAAAAATAAAATGTTAAAAGAAATATTCACAATTTCCATTCTTCCTTTTCTCCTTAGTTATATGTGCTGGATTAGAGACAATTTTATAGTTTATTCCTCAATCAGTAACCAAAAACAAAATTCAACATTTGGATGCAACCTCGGGGCATACGTATATCATATATGTACCTTGTTTGTATTTTGAGCAGTTTATTTTTATTTAAACCGTACACTCGTTCCAAGTCAAATTAAGGCAGATGTAATTTCCCTAAATTACACTCCATCGGTGGTAGCCGTACAGAGAACTTATTCTTTTTATAAACTTTCTTCACAAGTTTCACGACCCGCGATATGATGAAAGTGCCGCCGAAAGATTGAATAAATTTAACCTTTTTGTCAATTGAAGAAAAATATAAAAAAATGAACAAGAGGTATTCTAACTTTTAACCTTTACAATTCAGTGTTGTACATTTAATTAAGTAATTTAAATATTTCACTAAATATGCAGAACAAAATTATGTGTTTATCTAAAATTATACAAACCAAACTTGTTTATAAGAGTAATTTGTAAACGATTTAAACTATTATGTGATAACTTTACTTCTATAAGGGCATGTTTGGTTGATTATTTTCCCGAAAATTAAATTCAAGAAAGCAAAGTCAATAATGGTATTGGTTGAGTTCATAATATTAAGAGTAATGATTGAAAGGATAAAAGTTTGGCACAAAAATTTAAAATTAATAATGGAACTTATATCATATCATTAATTTAGTTAATGTATATAATATCATAAATTTTAAAAAAATAAAAAAATAAATTATTAAATAATATAAAATTTAATTTTTAATATTTAAATAATATAACTAATATCGCATTAT